TTCTCCCCGGGGAGCCTGAGCATGCCCGCGGCGTCCCCCCATGCCAGGGCACCCCGCCGCCCCCACCGGGACCTCTGGCGCACCCCGCTCCCCGCCCCCACGGCCGGCTGAGGCCGGACCCGTCCTTGCAAGGGTCGTGCTGACTAGCTCCCCGAGAGACACAGGAACCCCAGACATCTTCATGTGGCCCCGGCGCCGCCGCCATCGCCAGCACCCCGGGGCCCTCCTCGGCTGCAGGGCTGAGCCCCCCGCGCCTGTGACTCCCCGCTGGGAGCCGGAGCCCCGCCCCGCGTGGGGTCAGCGCCTCCAGCTCCCTGCAAGCACCTGGAACCATCGTGGACCCCGAAGACCCGACCGCGGAGACTGTGCCTGCCCGGCGGCATCCGGGTCGTGCCGCACGTCTGGCGGGCACTGGGCATCGGAGGGGCGGGGTGGCCCCGGCGCTGGTGGCCTCCCGGCTTGGGAGGGACTGAATGCTCCCCCCCCCCCGTGGAAGCGTCGCCACCCCACAGCCAGGCCGGGCGCTGCGGTGACCCTGCCCCAGGCCACCTGTGCCCGTGGGTTCAGACGGCGGTGCGTCCGCAGGGCTCCCACCCCCTGGCACTAGGGCCCCATCGCCCCCCACCGCTCCTTCATCTCTCAGGGCCATTTCCACCCCCGTGGGGAGCGCGGCCAGCAGGCCTCAGGCAGCAGACGGCGCAGACCCTTCTGCCCCAGCAAGCATGTGCCTGCCCCCCTTGCTGTCCGGCACCGTGTCCGGTGCGCGCCCCGCGTCTCCGCCAGACGAAGCCCCGTGCGAGGGTGCAGGCTCCTGCTGAGTGTTTACCGCCTGTCCACGCTGCCTGACACACTGCGGGCGCCAATAGTTGTCCAGGGAGTGAGCCTCGCAGGAGACCCAGAGGCAGCCCGGAATGCCAAGGGCCGGCCGCCAGCCCGCGGAACAGGAAGCAGAGGAGGGACGTCGGGTGTGCTCGGGAGTGTCCTCCCGGACCAGTTCCTGGCCCACACGCACCGTGTCACCCAGAGGGCCGGGGCGGGCGCTGGGTCAGGGCGGGCGGCCGGGCAGGCGGGAGCGCCGGATTCCCGGTCACCCGCAGTTCACACGCTGGACCAGCTCGCGGCTTCTGCCGGCCAGAAGCCTCGAGTGTCACCGAGCAAGGTGAGCTGTCCGCAGGGCGGCCGACCAAGCCGGGGCCCAGGGTGGTGTTTGCTGCTTGTAGAGCCACAGCCGGTGCCTGACCTCACAGGTGGCCCATAGTCCCCAGAGCTGCCCCCCCCAAGACCCTGACTCCCTTGGGCCTCCCGTACCCCAGGGCCCAGCCACCTCCACATCCAGGTGTAGTGACAACACAAAGTCTCCTTTGCTGCGTTCGGGGCTTCGGACCTGGCTCTCCCGGGGCCACTGGCGTGCAGGACCCCAGGTGGGCCCCGGCCCCCGGGCAGGGCCAGGGCAGGGCCGGTGGCACCGGCAGGCCCTGGACTGCTGGAAGGGGCCCTCGGCTGAGGGCCCAGGCGCAGACCAGACGCGTGTCTCCGACGGCTGCCTGGAGGAAGGGGCCCCACCAATGACCGTCTGCGGGCCCGGGAGCAGCGACAGCGACAGCGGCCCTGGGGGGGGGGGCGGCCGCCCTCCTGGACCCCTGCCCTGGGCCTGGCCGGTGACAGTGTCGGGAGCCGAGCCCTGCGCGACCCCTCCGCCTGCCCGCGCCCGCTGTGCCCAGGGGCCGCGGCCCCTCCTGGACTCCCACCCTCGCTGCCGTCGCGGCCGCAGGTGCCAGAGGCCTGTGGGAACTGTGCTTCGCTTTCTCTGTACAAAGTGTGACAATAAACCCAACGTGCGCGGGCGTGCTGCAGCCTCTGT